GGGAAGGAATGCATCCCTACGGTCTAGAGCTGGGAATAGCTCATATTTTGAGGTTCTGTTACAGAGGGGCTGGTGGAAAAGACGAGAGCATGAGCGTTGAAGGAGAGTGGCGACTCGGCACACGACAGGGCGGTGACCCTGCCACTGCAGCCCAGACAGGCGGCACACCGGTGAGCAACCGAGAAGCGAACGCATTCACTCGAGAGAGCACAGCACACACAGAGTGTGCGTGTTGTGTGTGTGCTGCAGTCCATCAGTGAGGGTTTGGGTCGTCTGGAGGAGCGCATCGCATCGTTGCACACACACATAGATCAGGCAAGTGGCGCAGCTGCAGGCGGTGGTGGCGGCCCTCATGTGCCAGTGCTGCTATGCACTCGAGCATGACTGACTGGGCACTCTCACACTTGCTCCGGCAACTTCCCTGCACGCACACACACAGAGAAAGAAAGAGTGGAAGATGGTGATGACACAAGCACAGCACACGTTTCTCCCCCGTACTCACTCCACTCACCGAGATAGTCCTCATTGATGGAGCCAATGGCAAACTGACCAAGGCCACACCACAGTCATTACACATACAAAACAAACGCACTATCAATCATGCTGCCTGGATGGTGGTCTGGCTCGGTTGTTTTGTGTGCTCACTCACCACGTTGGTTGCATCGTTGTTGGTGCCGATGATGCGGACCCTCACCCGTGCCTCCGGCTTGATGGTCGCGTCGTCGGTCTTCTTCTCTGTCGACTGCCAACAGGGGGGCGTCGCGTTGGCCACAAACTGATAATGCATCGGCATCGACTGATTGAGGCAGGCAGGCAGACACACACCAGACACAGACACAGACGGTGTGTTGTCGATTAGTTAAAGTGTGTCCCCTTGATTTGATTCGTCCTCACGCTTTTCGAGACGAACACCTGGAGAGGTCCGCACTGACAGAAGAAACCCAGCTGCACACGGACAGACAGAAGACGCACACACACGCAAATGCACATGTGCTGTGCGTTGTGTCCAGCCATATCACTCATCCATGTGTCAGTCACAGCGAGTGAGCGTACTTACTGAGTTGACCTCTTCCGTGACAATCCCATCGAGGACCTCGCCCTTCCTGGCCTTGAATGCGAGTGCCGTGTAGTTGACCTCCACCACCACCAGGCCCGTGCCGTCCTGCACGTGGCCTCTCCCACGCGGATCTGCGTCGATGACGGTGAGCACGATTCCCCGGTCGGCGTTGACGCTGCCCTCCAGCTCCTTCTCCACTGCCTCCTTCATCGCGGCGATGTAGTGCGGACCGATCTGCGACGGATGCAGCCGCACATTCGTCAGACGCTGCAGCAGGTAAAACATCGCCGGACGATGAGGCTTCTCAAGTCCAGATCCAATTCATTGGCGGCCGAATCATGCCTGTCATGTCGACAAGAAGCGTTCAGAACTGTGTTTTGATTCCCTCCTCATCGCGCGAGCTTCTTGGCGAAGGCGAGCTTAAAGAGGCTCCCCAAGATAGGGCTGCAACGGCGTCCTGCCTTCGCGGGACGGCATGCTCTATCGAAGGCCGTCGCCGATCTTAGCAGTGGTCGGTCAGATCTGACGTCAGCTTCCTACTGACGACGGAACTCCGCTTTGTGGTCTGGTCAATGGAGAAAGGCCGACATGGAGACCATCAGCACTGCCGGCACTCACGTCGACCATCGGTTTCGTGGCCTTTATGGTGCTGCTGTGTCATCACTGGCATCGGCTGCGACTCATCGCACAGCCACGAGAGGGCACCAGCCATGCTCAGAAAGGCCAGGCGGCCACACCGCACGTCGGCATTCGCCCCACTCACCCCGCCCGCCTCTCGAAGAAGGCCGCGAAGACCTTTGTTTGTGCAGCAAAAGACTGCGGACACATCCCTCTCGGAGTACCCCTCATCGTTTCCTCCCCCTCCCCCCCACTGGCCCAACGCCATCACGCCTTTCCCCAAGCAGCCCGACAAACCGCGAGAGGTCGGCAGAGACCTATGGCTGGCGGAGCTGATCGGACGGCAGGACGCCGCCAATAGATGGCAGACTGTTGGTGCGGTGGAGCACCCGGACCTGGTGCTGGGGATGCGGCACAGGCGGCTGGGCGGCGGGCGGAAGAGGGACGAGAGCAAGGGGGTGGCGGTGAGCGAGGTGTGCCTGGGCACCAGCCACATCGGGCAGGAGCACCTCATCGACAGTGGGGACGCCATTGAGCAGCTCGATGTCGCCGTCGATGAATATGGGATCAACTTCTTGGTACGGCACACACGCACACATAGGCAGACAAACAAGACACACACGGGGATGGCATACACACAGACACACAATATACTATATGCCGTCTGTCCGTCATGTCTGTGTGCAGGACATGGGTGACAACGAGCCGGTGCCCAGCCGGCCGCAGTTCAAGGGCAAGGGGCACGAGCTCATCGGCAAGTGGATCAAGGACAAGGGTGGGGCGGCCTTCAGGGAGAGGCTGGTGCTGTCCGGCCGCATTGCCACATCGGAGACTCTCGTGAGGCAGCCACACCCACCCGCGCAAACCAGGCAGGATCGGAAGCGTCCTGGGCCGCCAATGACCAGGTAAGCAAAGCGTGCTGGGAGTGTCTCGACATGACCGACATTTTTATGTCTCTGTGTTTTCACAACTTGCCTTTTGCTGCAGGGAGAGGATTCGCGAGGCTGTTGATGGCTTCCTGGGTCGTCTGGGTACGGATTATCTGGACGTCGTGAGCCTCAGCGCCCCCGATCGCTACACGCCCATGACAGAGGAGGGAGAGGACACATACTGCTACGGGGTGAGCAGAGCAGCCAACTAACACAACACCCATCCCGTCTCTTGGTCCTGTGTGTCGGTGTCATGTGTGTGGTGGGTGTGGTGGGTGTGTTGTGTCAGTATGAGCATGATTCTCTGTCCATGGAGGCCACACTCGATGCGTTCGAGGAGCTCGTCAAGGAGGGCAAGGTAGGTGTGTATCACCTCATCCATCATCATGGGGGTGTAATGCTCACACCCTGCCCTGCCTGACCTCACTCACCTTCTGGTTTTTGGCCAGGTGAGGCACATAGCCGTGTCGGAGGAGACCCCATGGGGCCTCTTCAAATTCGCTTCAATGGCAGAGCAGGTCACACAGCCTCACACCAAGCCCACACGGAGTCCGCACCCAATCAAGACGCTCCTTCGTCTTGGCCTTTGTCTTTTCGGTTCACAGCGTGGTTTGCCGTTGGTGTTTAGCCAGCACGTCTACAACATCATGAACAGGAACCACGTGGAGTCGTCTGGCCTCGCCGAGATGGCCGGCACCCGGCAGATGAACGTGCCCCTCGTCGGCTACTCGCCACTCGCCGGCGGATTCCTCACTGCGAAATACCTGGACCCAGAACGGTCCCCAACACGCACAGAACCTATAACCATACCCTTCTCCTTCACAAATTGGTCTCTCTTTGTCTCTCTCTGTGCTGTGCGCCTGTGCGTATGTGTGTGTGTGTCAGTTGGAATCTGAAGGGCCCGACGTTTGTGCCGCAGGAGGGGACATTCCCCTCGTTTGTGGAGGAGTGGCAGGACCTGCAGCCGGAGGACTGGGGGTTCATCTCTTACGGGCCGGAGACCGGCAAGCTCAACAGGTACAAGGGCTGGTACGAGGCCTACAGGGCGTCGGTCTTCGCCCACATGCACCTGGGCAAGCTACTCAAGACGGCACGCAGCCACGGATACGCTATGTGGCAGCTGGCACTCGCCTGGTGCTATTCACGACCATTCGTAAGCCACGCCACACACTCGACAGACACGCAGGCAGATATTCAGGCGGGTGGCGTCATGACATGCACTGTCTGAGTGTGTGTGGTGGTTGCTGTCTGCACTGCAGATGGGTTCGACTATTATCACTCCTCGGACACTGGGGCAGCTCAGGTGAATTCTGCTGTTGTCAGTCACCCCAACACTCACCACACACGTCAATTGACGTCTGTTGTCTGTCTGTCTGTCTGTGTGACGGTGCAGGGACTCTATCCGTGCCCTGAACTTCCCCATCACGCCAGAGATCGAGCAAGACGTCCATGAGGTGGGTGACACGACAACAACAACAACAACAACATCCATACAGCTCTCGCGCACGCACACGTGCCCACACGGACCACTGGGTGTTTGTCCATCCCCCCCCCCCGAATGCAGATCTTCCTCCGTTATCGGGCGCCATCTGGTGTGGGCCCCTACTACGGCACCGAGCTGGTCGACAAACCGCTGGCGCAGTCCGTCTACATCAACTGGAAGTGAGCCACGCCACACATGCACTCACTGCACACATAGCACAGAGAGAGGGCATCCTCGGTCCTCTCTGTGTGGGTGTGGGTGTGTTTCACATGTGACACAGGGAGACCCCGATATGGAGCGGAGGGTCCTACCACCCGAAGCTGATGGTATGTATGGTCAGGCACACGCAGCGCACACATGACCCACCACCTGTCTGTCTGTCCGTCTGTCTGTCTGTCTGTCTGTGTGCATTGATTGCATTGGTCAATGTGTCGGTGTGTCCCCTGCACTGCACTGCACTGCAGAGCCTCCCACCAACGAGTGTGTCCCGCGTTCGACGAGAGAGAGCCCTCAACTTCCACGAAACATACGTATGTACGACGCGATAGGGACGGCAAAGGTCCTTCGTGGGGTGGTGGCTTGGCTGCATGGCATGTGTGCTGTCCTCTGGGCTACCTCTCTATGTGTGTCCGTCACGTGTGACCGCCCCGACCTATCTATCTATCGCTCTCAGGACCAGGTGCTGGCGATGACGGGTCAGTACGACGACCCCACCGACGAGAACAAGGCCAACATGCGCCTGTGGCGGGAAATGCTCGAGGAAGGCAGACCAGGTACTAAGTAACAGGACAGCACACAGGTGTGCCTCCATATCTCTGGGCGCTTCGTGTCTCATTCACAGGTGAGTTCTTTGCCGTCAAGGACGCCAAGCTGTTTGGGTGGGACACAAAGACCCCCGACTACTTCAACTGGCGCAACCTCACTCGCGAGGAGCGGATCGAGCAAAACACCGACCACTTCGAAATCATCTGGACAGGCGGACAGGTGACAGACGATGGGATGCCGAGTGCACTGCACTGCACTGCACTACTGACACACACGACGCGGCTGCGCCATCAATGAATGTGTGTGTGTGTGTGTGTGTTGTGAGTGTGCAGGTCAAGAAAGTCAACGCCACCTGGGACCGGTCGTACGTCTACACGGACGCCAACGTCCGAGACATTTACCGAGAGTGAGTCAGTGATCCAGGCACTGATTGCAATCAATGCAGGTGGACGTCCGGCAGGACGGACCCTTGGATGGATGGGTGGATGGATGGCTGCACACACGTCTCTCCGTCTGTCTGTCGGTCTGTCGGTGTGTGTCTCTTGGTTGTATTTCAGTGAGATCAACAAGTGGCAGGACTTCAGCCAATACCTCCACAAGGTAGGTAAAAATCAATCAACACACCTCCAGTCAGTCTCCCACACGGCGGACGGATGTGTCCACCGTCTGTGTGTGTGTGTCGGTCAGTTTGCGCCTCCCACCGCGGGTGCGCCCGTGTTCAACGAGCTGGACCCCGACCTCATCATCAAGAAACTCGATGAGAAATGGGGAATCGACCTCTACGACACTGAGGTCAGTGAAGTGAACAACAATAGTGTGCTCTCTCCTCAGGACTGAAATGAATGATGCACATCTGACCATTCCTCCCTGTCTGTCTGTCTGTCTGTCTTGTGTGTGTGTGTGTGTGTAGATGTTGGAGCGTCTTCGTGAGTCCAACGGGTTGAGTGCGGAGGAGTGGGAGACGTTCGCCCACTGGGACACGACACTCAACAAGAGGCACCAAATCCTCGACGACAATGTCTTCTTCGGAGAGGAACACTAGACAGCCACATACAACACAAACATGGACAACAAAGCATCCAGAGCGACGTGTCAACAGCCACGCAGGCAGGCACTCGTGGTGGCCGGGGGTGGGATGTGCCTTGCCGATCAGATCAAGTGTGTGCGCCAGCTGCTGGGCCGACCGCCACTCACTACCGGTAGTGAGTGCGGCTCTGTGTGTGTTCTCTGGAAATGTAGACAGAAATGTGTGCACAGCCACGTGTAAGATGTACGTATACTGGTGCAATGCATGTGTGAAGGCATCGGTGGTCCGTCCACCCGTTCATCCACCAAGTGAGTACCTGCATGACACAATGGGTCACACAGAGACTCGACCCATGGATGGGACTCGACAACTCATGTGTGAACTCTTGAATGAGCATGATCACCCATGAGTGTTGCCGGCGAAACTTCAAAAGATCTCGTTAACCATCCCGCATCCTTGCGTTCTAGCTCGCAGTCCGCCGATCTACGTTCCAGGCCAAAATTCAGCAGCTGCATGCAGATGGGGGCGAGACTGGGGGTGCCTCGTCTCGCAGTCTCTCCTCAGGCGGCTGTCATGGTACCAACGGCGTCCCTGATCCTGTTTGCTTTTGCTGCTTCCGGCCTGCAATGCAATGCAATCCCGGCCTCCGTAGTCGGTCGGCATGTTGGCCGCCACGCCAATCTCAATGTGACAATCGCGCGTGCTGGGCCGTTTGCGAAGCAGCAGGCGGGGCTCGTCTACAAAGGATTCTACGAGGCGGCGTCAGGCAAGAGGGAGCCGTCCAACCGCCGGGAGGAGGGCTTCATGAAGCTGGCTGCTAAAGCGGCAGAGAAGGATGGAGGGGGCCTGGTGGAGGACGCCCCTAACGCCACCAAAGCTGTCTACTTTGATCAATGCCACGGTGATCTCAAAACGCACAGCGCACATGCAGACGATACATAGATCGTCCGGCCCTTCCCATGTCTCATGTATGTCTGGTCTTTGGTGATACATAGTCAACAAGTGGCTGTCGGGCAAGGCCCCCGGGTACGTGAGTGAGAGTGAGAGTGTGGAGAGGCCGGGATCACATGGTATGTACGTCTCGGTGCATCTGGTTGTCTTTGTGTGCACGCAGATGGTGTGACCCAGCTCTGAAGGAGAGCAAGGCCAAGTCTAGGCATCTGCCGGACGGAAAAACCATGGTCATCATCCGTGGCAGTAAGCTCGACCCCAAAACCATGGCCATCATCCGCGGCAGTGAGCTCGACCCCAAACTCGGCCACACCCGGCGGACCTTTTCTCCCATCGAGCACAACATGCCCATGCCCCCTGCACAACATGCTCATGCCCATGCCCATGCCCATGCCTACACTTCGCCCTGTAAAGAGCTCTACCACACCTCGGAACAAACTGTGGCCGAGTCGGGCGAGATGGTGATGGGCGAGCTGACTGCTTTCACAATCCCCACCATTGACTGGCTTGAGCAGGACGCGTTCCCCTCCCCGCTGCCCACTTGGCTGCTGGCGGACAAGATCACACGCGCCAAGTACGGACACAGCAAGTGGTACGGCTTCCCTATGGGCTCTCCGGTGAAACCGAGACACTGCACCGGCGTCATCGGCAAAGGTGGCCTCGGCAAGTGGGGCCCCAACTTCGCCGCAGACTCCCTGGTCAGTCAGTAAGCGGAGAGAAACGGACGGGAATGAGCGCTCAAATGAGCGCTCACTCTTGGATAGAATGGATGCAATCGTGTCGATGCAGTTGGGCCGCAAGGTACGGCACCTGAGATCTTCCTTGACTCTTCCTTTACTTGGCCTGTCACCTTGTTTCGCAAGAATCCCAACACTGAGGAGCTGGAGATTTTGCTCATCAAGCGCAAGGACAGCGGCGACTGGGCTTTCCCTGGCGGAATGGTCGACGATAAGGTGCGCCGCGTGTGGACAGACGAGAGACGGAAAGACACTCGTGTCCAGTGTGGACATGCGTGTGTGTTGGCTGACGTGGACAGGAATATCACAAGCCAGTGATCACTGCCGCCAGTGATCACTGCCGCACGGTCAAGCATACACACGCACATACACATACACGTAATGTCGCGAGACTGTCTCTTTGCGGGTCGATCAGGGAGCTGATCGAGGAAACATTGACGGGCACGGAGGGCAAGTCTATCTGCGACGACTGGAGCACCATCCAAGAGAAGCCGAGCTTCCAGGCCATGATGAAAACACTGGGCCTGGAGGTCGCCGAAGGCGACATCAAGTTCGCCTGCAAGGGCGGCGAGGACAAGTGCGACGAAGCCGACTGCGAGGTGCACATCTCGGGAGACGAGGAGTTCGGCGGTGTCGAGACATTGCAGTCGTCGGCTACACCGGTGTACGCAGGATACGGTACGTACGTCGATAGATACGTACAGGAAAGGATACCAACGTTGGTATGTATGTACTTATTCCCTGAGTGGATCGATGGCTCACCACTTGATTGAATACTCATCTGTTCGTTCAGTTGACGACCCCCGCAACACCGACAACGCCTGGATGGAGTCGTTCGTTTTGGGATGGCTCGTCCTTGACAACCTCGCTGAAGAGCTCGACGACCTGCCCGGAGGGTCCGACTCCACCGAAGGTCGGTCGGCAACACGCCCATGCATACACACACAAGCGCACACGGCCCGTGTCTCGTTCGCACCTATGGGTGTTGATGAATACAGTCGCCTGGTGGCCCATCCACAAATCGATCCCCAAGGGCAGCGGGGAGAAGGCCCCGATGCTCCAGGACGGCACTCTGTTCGCCAGCCACTCGTTCTTCCTCCGCGCCGCCACCCAATTCATCCTCGAGGAGAATCTCGACTTCGCCAACGAAGACGAGATCAGAGAGGCGCTGGCGAAGGGTGAGTGAGTGGGGGGAGGGGGAGGGCGACGGGTTCGTTGTGGCCATCCGGTGTGTGTGTGTGTGTGTGTGTTTGTTGCATGCAGCCAACTCTGAGAGCATCTACAAATCTCACCTGGAGTGAGTGAGACGCACGAGTACACACACATTCTGTCTACCTGCCTGCCTGCCTGCCTGCCTGCAGCGCCTTCGTCGACAAAGTCCACGACGTGTAGGTTGGCGACTCAGAAACAGGCGAACAAGAGGAAGGAGAGAGGGAAAGAGAGACTTTTTCGTGTAGTCAGTCAGGGGCGGGTGGGTGGAAGGAAGGTTCAGGGCAGTGCAGTGCATGCCTGAGTTGTTCTGCGATGACGGACGGTACAGTAGATGATGCCGACTGCCCGATCGATGTGAGTGGGATGGATGGATGTCCAACAAGGCCTGCCTCACTCACCGTCACACACACACACACAGCACAGGCCGCTGAGTCTCTTACGATGCGATTAATGCCTACACTCACAAGTCAGCATCAGTAGCACCGCCGCCGGCCGCTTGACTGGGATCTCCCCCAAAAGTCGCGAGACGAGAATCGCGACGAGACGGGGGCGACGAGGGCCACTCGAACGGGAAGAGCGTTGTTCGTCGTCGTTGTCGTCGTTCGTTCACATCACGGGGTCCTTACCAGGGCAGAAAGGGTATTCTTTTGATCGAGGAGCATGCGTCAGAGGCAAACCTGAAGCAATAGCAGTGATACAGTTGAGTGCAGTCCCATCATGGGTTCGGAAGCCGCCGCCGAAGCTCTCCTCGCGTCCTTTGCGGAGGGAGCTCGCTTGGAGATGAAGCGGCTGGTCAAGCGGGTAAGGACCACCGGCAAAGAACAGCACCAACACACACAAATCAACGCTGAGGCTCTGTCTATCCACACACCTGCTGTTGGTTGCGTGTTGTGGCACGGGCAGGAGCCGCAGTCTGACGATGACGACCTGGATGGCTCCGAGAGGAGCGAAGATGAGGGTCAGGATGGCGTCGGTGCAGCTGCTGCTGCCGCTGCCGCTGCTGCCGGTTCCGAGCAGTTGCAGCCGAAGAAGCGCGGCCGCCCGAAGGGCAGCCTCGACAAGCAGCCTCGCCGCGCCGCCAAGAAGCCTTCAGTGCAGACCAGGCTGGCCTCGCTGCCTGACGAACAAGTGGACAAGGCCATCGCTGACCTCATGCGGCCCGACATAGAGGGACTGGTCAGCCAGACAGACAGCGGAAGGCAGCGATTGCTCACGGGGTCCCTCCTGTGCTGTGCTGTCTGTATGTGTGTTGTGTTGTCTGCGTGTCAGATTCCGGCGTACCAGCCTGGCGCTACCTTGCCGTTCGGGCGTCCAAGCATCGCTGTGCTTAAGTTCATCGCAACCAAGATGTTGGAAGGTGAGTGCCCTGCCTGTCCTGACTGACATGGATGGATGGATGGATGGATGGCTGGATGGCTGGATGGCTGGATGGCTGGATGGCTGGATGGCTGGGCGGATGGATGCAGGTGGCGGTCAGTTGCATTGGACCATCAAGAACGAGACCATATGCAAACTCGCAGCAGAAAGGCAAGCAGGCAGCAAGCTCCGCACCACACCACACCGTATAGCTACCTCCTTTCCTTACTCTGTCATGTGCAGGGGTTTGTGGGAGGCGGCCTATCGTCTTAGCGAGGAGCATCTGGGCACCCGGCCGCCCGGTCTGCTTCTTGAGGTCGCCTGCGCCCACTACCAGCGGCACCGCAACCCCAGCAAGAGGGCCCGCAATGAGGAGGCCAAGGCAGTCGAGGAGGAGAAGCAGGGAAAGAGGGATACCGAGGTCATCCGCATCGTCAGGAAGGAGCTGTGCCGCAGCGAAGATGCGCCTGCTGTGTTCCCGCTCTACCTCTGCCAGATCGGCACCGTCCCCAACGCATCGCTCAAGTGGTACGTACGCTCACATGCATCTCATTGTCAAGACGAGAGAGAGATGGTGTCTTACCTGCCAGTCATCCAGACCAGACGTGTGTTGTGTTGTGTTGTGTTGTGTTGTGGCCGTGTTCGTATCGTCAGGCTGAATGTGTATGAGCTGCCGCGTGCCCTGGTCAGGGAATACGAGGCCTCCCTGCCGGCTGCCGACACAAGCCGCATCAAGAAGGAGGAGGCCCTCGCCGCACTCTCGCTCGCCCCGCAGGACCCGCCCGAACCCATGGTCTCCGAGAACCCCTCTTCGTCTGTTGCGGCGTCCTCCCTCCCCCCTGGCCACCCTCACTACGCCAGCAAGGTGGCCTTCCGCCGCAAGCAGGCCAAGCAGCTCATGCTGGAGATCGGCAAACGCGAGGAGGCCATCCTCAATGCCACCAAGGACAAGTCCAGTGCTGCAGCAGCAGCAGCCCCCATCCCCGCCCGCGCCGTCCGTGAGCTGGCGGCCCTATCGGTCCAGCTGGTCGAGAAGTTCCCGGATGTGCTGCTCCCCGACGAGCGTACGCAGCTGGAGGAGTTCGCAGCGGCGGTGCAGCAGATGGGCAGCGACGCCATGGCGGCTGGCCTGTGTGAGGGCACCTCATCCAGCCATCCCCCATTGCCGCGTCTGGCTTGCTCTGCAGGGGACGACAGCAGCAGTAGCCCTGTTGCCGGCAGCAGCCACACGGGGGCGCAGGGCGAGGGCTCGCGGATTGAGGCTTCGGCTCGCGGGGCACCATCTGGCTTCCCTTATGAGCTGTATGAGCACTTCGTTATAGCACAGTGAGTCGAGTCGAGTCATCGAATGCACAACACGCGGCACACGAGATCCGTCCATTGAATTGATGATTGTGCGTGTGTTGCTGTTGGTGTGTGTTGTGTCGTATTGTGTTGTGGGGGGCAGCATGAAAGTGAGTACTTTGGGAGCCAAGCTGCCTCTCAATGACTACGACGCGCTGTGGCGGCTGCAGCAGGTGGCCGAGGAATGGGCGCACGACACCATACGGCACGCCAGAAAGGAGGTACGTCAGTCCATCCATCCATCCATCCGGCCGCTGTGTGTTCCTATGTGCAGGGCTTGAATGTGGTTGACGTCCTGAGTGAGAGGCTCGCGGCCATCGAGGCCGAGAGACGCCGCACCCGTGCCAACAGTGCCCTTCCCAACCAAAGCAGGGATGACGACCCAGGCTCGGCGGGCAGCCACCACTCCCCTCCCACACACACCCAAGAGCAAGCCACACCCCGCACCACCCCAGACACCACCACCACCACTCAGCCTCCCGACTTCGTCACGGGTGCGTTGGCGGTGGAGTATCGGCGCCGCCAGTCGGCCAACCGGACACACTCTGGCGGGCTGACCCCAGCGACCTTCCTCTCGTCTCTACTACAGGATGTCCAGGGCACTCAGCCACCGGCCTACCTGCTCAATCACGCCACCGACAGCGGCCGTCTGGCCCAGCTGCACTCTTGGCTGGCGAGCGGGGCGGCGGTTGACGTTGGCGCATTCACCAGACTCGTCGTGACGGCAGGGAAGGCTGTCAAGTCAGCAGCATCGGCAAGCGCTGGTGATGGTGGGGGTGGGAGGTCGGCTTTGGCGGATGTTGTCATGCGACAGTATCAGGGGTTCTACTACGGGTGGCTGGCGCCCGAGATGCACCGGATGAAGATGCCCGCACACAAACAGAAGCCGTACGCCGACCTCTTGTAAGTGAGTACCGGCCGTGTGGCGAGATGTGGCGAGATTCGTGTGCTGACGCCTCCCTCCCTCCCTCGGTGCTGTGTGTGTGTGTGGATATGCAGCCTGAAGACGCGTGACTGCTTGAAGGCCATGTGTGCGAACCCAAACGAGTCCCCGCAGACAGTCCACTACTACCTGCAGCAGTGAGCGGACGGACAAGACACACCGCCACACTCAGACACACTGACTGACCCATCCATCTCTTCTCTCCCCGCTCGTGCGTGCGTGTGTGTGTAATATCAGGTTGGTCTTCAAGTTCGGCGCGAAACTGGGCGAGTACCGCCTACGGCACCCTCCCACACCCACACCAGCCCCAGCAGGCGCCCCGCAGGCACCTTCCCTGTCTGTGTCCGCTGTTCCCGCCCCTCCCCAGCAGCCCACCTGCAACGGGATGCCCCTCCCCGCTGCCCAGCCAGAGCAACAGCCATCGGTGCCGGCCTTTCCGGCCCTCTTCCAGGCCCCCTACGACAACCGCTCTGGATCAGGCCTTTCGGCAGCTGCGGGACAAGAGGCTAGAGGAGGAACGGAGGAGACAGGGGGCGTCGGACATGATGCAGGAGGACAAGTGACTCACTGTGCCGCGAGAGATCCACCAGCTGCAGAAGAGGTGCCTGATGAGCCATCCGGTGGCCAGCATCAAGAGCCACAGCAGCAGCAGCCGGTGTGACGTGACAGGGCCGTGTCATGTGAGTGTGAGTGGATGGATGGGGCATGTCCGCGCCGACCACATGGGGAGGGCAGGCAGCGGTCAAGCAGGGGGGGAGGGAGGCAGACAGAGAGGTTCAACGATTGATTTGTGTGTCAACGATACGTACGTGTAGTCGAGTCGATACCTGCCTGCCTGCCTGCCTGCCTGTCTGGTCGCTGGTGAGACTAGGTGGCTTCGACCAGATCAGATGCGGGTGTGGTTTGTCATGTGCCCGGGCAGGCAGTCAGGCAGGCAGGCAGGCAGACACCATAGGTAGTAGCAGAGAGAGTCTGGCTGGCTAATTCAGAGAGATGGATGGCGGATGAAAGGATTGACTGTTTACTTACCAGTGCAGCCAGCTGGAACAGAGGAACGAGAAAGGTTTAGCACAGCGCACGAAACCACGGCAAGTCCACACTCACTCACCATAAAGCCATCCATGGCATATATGCATCCACACACAAATCCACACCAACGCACACCAACGTGTTGTCGTCCCCTGGCCGACCAACAGAACGGACAGACCAGGCCGCAACCATCTCCTCCCGAGACGCACACGCACATGCACACAAATAATCCGTCCGTCCGTCTGTCCATCCATCCATCCATCTCATGATCTGTCTACAGGGCGGCTCTTGGGTTGTCAGTGTGCAGCACAATGAGCCCGTTGCTGAGCGCCACCTTGCCCGAGTTGAGGTTCTTGACCTGGAACACCACCCGCCCCCCATCCCCATTCCCTCCTCCTTGTCGCCACATCTCGACGGCCAGCACATCGCCCGGCACGACTGTCGAGGCGAACCTGCCCTCGATGCTCCGCACCCTCGACGCGTCGTTGTCGCACATTTCCCTCACCACCCCGTGGCCCGCAATGCCGAATGTGCACAGGCCGTGCAGAATGGGCACGTCGAAGCCCCCGATGCTGCTGAAGTTGGGGTCCGCGTGAAGCGGGTTGTAGTCGCCAGACAGGCGGTAGATGAGCGCCTGGTTGGGCGAAGTCGCCTTGGTGAAGACGACGTCAGGCGGCCGGTTGGGCGGGGTGCGAGCAGGGCCTTTGGGCTGCTTGGGACCGCCGAATCCTCCGATGCCGCGGATGAAGAGCTGGCTGGTGTTGACGCACACGAGGTCGCCTTGCTGGTCGCGGCTTTGCGTCTCGACGACCACGAGGGCGGCCTTGCCTTTGTCCCAGACCTCCTTGAGCGAGGCCGTGTGGGTGAGAGTGTCGTCTGTCTGCAATGGCTTGAAGAGCTCCACCTTCTGCTCGCCGTGCAGCAGCATCATGGGGTTGAAGTCGGGCATGCCGGGGCACTTGCTGAGCGACTCGAAGACCACCTCGCCCCTCGGCAGCACCACGGCGAACGACGGGAGGGGGGCGAAGCCGTCGGAGTTCTCGTAAGTGTACTGGAGGTCATTGGCGTCCAGCTGGTCTTGCGAGAGGCCCAGCCCAAGCGCATACAGGATGACATCTCGCTTGCTGTAGCTCCGCACCTCACTGCCAAGCTGGAAGCCGCAGCACTTGGACGGCTGCACCTCCGAAGGCTTCATGGCTTTCGTCAGAAAGCGCTCTTCTCCTCTTTGATCTGCCGACGATCGGCCGCATGCTGCGAGCTGAGTTGTGAATGCCCGCGAGATCTGTGGCAGAAAGCGCCTGTTCAGCTCCTTCAGCAGCAGTGCACACCTTCCTGAGTCCCTTTCCCTCAGTTTTTGTCTGATGATTCATCGCCGCTCACGAGCGCCAGCCCTGGTGACGCTGGCGCGACTTCCGGCGTTCTATGTAGGCCCTCGGTACCGCCGAAGCGGCATTGAGTCTTTTCTGGTACGCAATGAGGCGCTGTTTCATGCAAGGAACTCGAAGGCGTGTGGTGTGGATGAGTGGGTGACGGTGGAGAGGAGCACTGTGGCGGCACACATGATGCAGCTCATGAACCGCATGAACATCCCGCAACTGATACGGCTGGCACAGGTTATAAAGGACGACACGACTGGTCTGTGCGCGATTGTTTGGTGCCCGCTCTGTTTTGTTTTGTTGTGTTTGCTCTCTGTCAGATCCAGCAGGGGCTGCCCACGTTTGTGGTTCGAGCGCTCCTGTCTGCACTGGCCGTCAACCTGAACGCCAGACTCTCCCCTTCTCGACCCACAGCACGCGCTCGCTCAGCGACTCCACCATCACCGCTCAGCGATGCAGACTTGTCCTCACGACCGACCAGGCGACGTCGCAAAAGGGGCAGGCGGATCATGCGGCCAGCGGAGATGTTGCGTGGAAGGGCTCGGTCGCCTCGGCACTGTCCGACGTGCCCAGCTGCGAGCAAGTCGTTGGTGGACCGGCGGTCAGTTCGTGTGTTCCGCGGGAAAGGCGTCACGGCAGCGTGTCTGCATCCGCACTATGTGGACGTGTTGCTGCGGAGCCTCTCACACAACGACCTCAAGGACCCTGCGGTGTGCCAGTGGGTGGCCAAGCACGTCTACCCCTTTCTCCTCCACTTCCCCCGGCCGACCGTCGTCAGCGTCTTCGGGCGGCTGCAGAAGATGGCCTCACAGTTGCTCTCGGACCAACACACACGGGAGGTGATCGCATACTGTCGGGAAGCTATCATGACCACCACCAGCGACTGCGTTTCCGTGCCAGCGCCGGATGGCTGGTCTGAGGGGGCAGTGATGGTGGGTCCTGGGCACCATTTGGCTGCGGGCGATTTGGTGCGGTTCCTCGGCGGGATGGCTAAGCGCGGGTTCAGGGACGATGCCGAGCTGCTGACGCGTGTGGGTGAGCGGATCGCTGATGACATCAACTCACTTGACGCTAGGGTGAGGAGGCTGGGCTGAGGAGACGGGCGGGCGTCGTGTTGTGTGTGTGGGTGACTGCATTGCATGCACCTGACCTGTACGCAGGAGCTGGTTGCGGTAGCGCAGTCGTGTCTGAGGCTGGACCTGGGGGACTGCATCCTGCTGCACGAAACGGCCAGGAGGGGTCAGTGAGAAGGAACGAACGCATGTGTCGGGTCGGCACCACCGGGCACTGCACTGCCGAGGGGTGTTCACCCACCCGTTGCTTGCTCTGCTCTGCTCTGCTGCTTGTGGTGTGTGTCATTCATGTCAGCGACCCTCTTGACACATGAGATGGACGGCCACGAGATCCGTAAGCAGAGAGAGCAGCCAGGGGGCAGCCAGCCAGCCAGCCAGCCATGCAGAGCACATTGCTGCTTCTTATTTGTGTGTGCGGCTCAGACACGTTCCTGCAGGCATTTGCCCGTTTCGACATCTACGACCAGGGCTTCCTGGACGCAATGGCCGACAGAATGGAACACATCGCTGGTCAGTCTGCAGTTGGATGGATGGATGGATGAATGGATGTATGGTGGATCGGCCTGCACAGACGAGTGTCATGTGTTTGTCAGGTTCGTTGAATGCCAACATTCTGTCGGGTGCGTTGAATGCTCTTGGGAGGCTGCAGGCCAGGTTCGACAGCAAACGAGTCCTAGAGGTGGGTAGGTGGGCAACGCGGCAAACAAGAAAAGGGGCAGCAACTCAACTCGTATCGTTGTGGCTTGATTGGGTGCATAGACATGATATGTGTGGATTGGATGGCTGCGTGGCTGCGCTGCAGGTGTTGTGCGACGAGGTCAAGAACAAGGCTGTGGTCTTGGGCGAATTCGTGAGCCAGCCGCATACATACAGACAGATTCATTCGAGTGGCGTGGCGCCGCTCGCTAATGGCATGTATGTCTTGACTTGATGTGTGTCTGGTCTGCAGCCGGTGACGTCGTGTCTGTCTGGGTTGAGCAAGCTGAGACACAGGGACCAGAACGTGCTGGAAAAACTGGT